AGACAGAGGAGGGGGAAATGAGAGAGAAACTACAAGCAAATGGGATCGCACATTAATATGTGAATCTGGGTAGAGGATAAATGGTATTCTTTGTACTATTTCTATTTTTGCAAATTTTTCTGTAGGTTTGAAATAATTTCCAAAGACAAAGAGGCAAAAATGTTTTTTGTAAAACTTCCAATAGGAGCAAGTGTTTTGTCCTAAGATAAATGAATTCATTTTTTACTATCTTACAAAGTTTTAAATATGATTTTATCAGAAATATAAAAATATAAAATATAGTGATTTCTTGACTCAACTTTAATGGTATCAAGATAGAGACGACTTCCGAAAGATTTCTGGAGTATTTCCAGATGATCACAGATTTCTCCTTTCAAATAAATTGAGAAAGAATTTCGTATTTCAATTGCATTCTGGGAAAACATTTTCCATAGCACTTAAAAATTTGCAAGGAGGAAAGAGGAGATGCTGGTCAGAGTACAAACTTCCAGTTAGAAGATGCGTAAGTTCTGGGAATCTAACGCACAGCATTGTGATTATGGATGACAATCTCATACTGCCTACTTGAAAGTTTCCGCGAGAGTAGATCTTAAATGTTCTCACCACAAAAAAGAAGTGGAAATTATGAGACATGATGGAGGTGCTAATGCTATGGTGGCAATCCTACTGCAATATATAAGTGTATCAAGTCAACAGATTGCACACCTTAAAGTTACACAATGCTACGTGTCAATTACATCTGAATAAAGTGCAGAGAAAAACAAAGGAAAAAGATTTGCAAGGTTGTTGGCCTCTCCCCTCTTCTTGCATATTGGCAATTTAGCCAAGAAAGCTTTGATTTTTTATTAGAACCTTAACAATAAATTCAGGACCTTGAATTGAAACATTTATCACATTTAGACAGTTAAAAGCATCTTTCGGGTAAGCCAGGCTGTGAATAAATTTCTCTCTTCTAAAATGTTTCAAAGGTAAGTTTTATTTTGCTTAAAAAAAAAAAAGAAACTTCTCCTATCAGAATAGGTAGTAAGGCTTGTGCCTTTGAGAGCCAGAGAATTTCTCTGTGATAGAGAAGACTTACTTGTTAGTCACAAAAATATTTTTTAAATGTGATGGTTTGGAAACCTACTTTGGATAAAGTTGATGGCCTTTTTGGCAATGACAGAATTTCTTTTAGGTTTGTTTGAAGAGTCTTTGTCATTAGTGCATGTCTGTTGCAAAACAAGTGAGTGGCCAGGATGTAAGGCCTTTTTCACAAAAGTAGGAAAACCGATGGTTATCAAGCATTGTAGGAGCTCCATCTGCGAAAAGAGAAAAGAAGCTTTTGTTTCAGTCAGAGTTTTGTATGATAAAATCACCCTTTTACCACTGCCAAAATTTGTTGACTTTTACAGTTTCCAAAAGAGACGTAAGAATCCTGTGATGGCTTCAGCCTGCACAGGACAAGCAAGAGGTAGAGGGGCATTGACTGCAGTGAAAGAGGCCTATTGTTTCATCCAACTGTAAAATAAAGGAGGATGGCAAAAGCGCCAATTCCTCAATGACTGCTTCCAATCTTTAAAGGAAATATCAACTATTTTATTTGACAAGGAAGATAAATTATAGACTTTTTCCTTTGTTGCTGTCCACAAACATGATCCAACATGGTCTGCTAAAGTTGACCAATACAATGGAGCTTCTTTTCATTCAGCAAGCTGGTAAGAAAATGTATGGAAGCCCAAAGAAAACAGTTTTGTAACATGGCACAGCTACATTGAGAAATGTGCCAACTTTTTCAAACTAAGCTTTCTTATTAGGAAAATTCCAAATCCTGAGATGCCTTTTCAGGACAGGCAGAAGTGAGACCCGCTTTCGTTTTCTCTGGCTTCACACTTGCATTCACAAGATCATTTCCACACAAATAAAAGCACTGAGGCCTTTGTGTCCTAGGAAGTTCAAAGATGCAAATGAAACCATCTAATTCTTGTCCTTTCCTTTATTTCTATTGGTAACAAAGTCTTGGACTCATCTAACACTCTTGTGTTTGTTGCCAACATTCAATACGGAAGGAAGTGATTATTATCAGTTAGAGGTTGATGAAAAATATAAAATTTTCTATCAAAGTTCATGGACCTCATGAAATTAAAAGGACACTAGACCCCATATTAATAAACCTTGCTCAGTAATGGAGGTAAGGTGCTAACAAAAATCTGGTACTTACATGCATAAAATCAGTCTATAAACAATTCTGAAAGGGTTTTTTTGATACTGTTTATTATCCATTGCGACTTTTCATCTGATGCATCATAATAACAGCAATATTGTGAACGAATTTTAGTGACACTGAACCCTAAACCTCAGCTGTGATCCTTGAGAGACACTTCACCATCAGGATGTAATGAGGGTTCCATGAAATGATCTCAGTGAAAGTGGCTAGCCTCGTGTGTGGCACACAGCAAATGCTCAATAAATGTTGGTTTCGTTCTTCTCTCCTTCACCTCTCTTCCCACCAGCAATTGGAAGTGTAAGGGACTAGATGTGTACTCCAGGCGAATTACCTGTGCCCCACAAGTAGGTACCTCTCCACCAGATTTTTTAAAGGATCATTATCTCTCCCTCTAGTCTCTATGCACACTCCGGAAAACCATTGCTGCCCCTGGGAACCCAGAACAAAGCAGCCTGATCTCTGACTCTACGCCAAGGTCCATTCCCCCAAAACAAAGGGCAGCATTTAGAAACACCAGTTAAGAGGATTGCTCATCTGTGGTATCACCAAGATCTCAGCCACCCACCCTGGAGGCAAGAGAGACCATGAACATAAGAACACAGTGTTCTGCTTTCTGCTCCTCAGAGCAGGGCACCTGGTATCTTTGCTGAGTGGATGTCTTTCTTGGCATGAGAGTGCGTTAACTTGGGTGCTGTGCCCCAATGACTCCACATCATGTGGGATCATGATAGTGGGGTCATGCAGGGTAAGAGCATGTGAGATTTATCCCTTCATTCGTTCACTACTTCATTCAGTCATCATATGTTCAGCACATCATCATGTGCCAAGCAGAGTGCTAGGTCAGAATAACAGAACTTGGTACCCATCCTCATGCTTTACATCAGGGAACCGTAGAATGCTAAAGTTGTAAAGGACCATGAAAATGGCTGAAATCTAACATCGCAGATAAACTTCTTGCTAAAGACAACATGAATTACATAGTGATCAACCACAGGTCTCTGGGCTCCCAGGAAAATGCTCTTTTTATTATACCACACTACCTGTATTAATAGATTCTAATATCTATCATCTCCTATCCCGTGCTAAACGAAGAAAGAAATTGTTTTCAAGAGAAAATTTGATGGTCGAGTTACTGTGGGAGGAGAGGAGTAGGTTAGAGGATCCCAAAGCTTCAGTGAAATTGCAAAATTCCACAATTCCACCTGGAAATAATCCAGCAGAAAAGAGATTCGAAGCTCGATGGGTCTTTCAAAAAGCATCTGTCAAGGGGGACCTTGAAGGAAGAGTAATAGAAACTCTGCCAATCCATTGCAGTTTAATCTAGAATGTCTGCTTCCTCTGCCATGATTCTGGAATCACTCTGTCTAAACAGATAAAGCAAAGGAAACAGGTGACAAATGAAATGTTTTGATAGCCTGGTAAACCCAAGCACCAAAGGCTCAGGGGCTTGCTTTCTCAATAAGGCTTTAGAAAGGCCTGAAAAATGCCATCCAGTTTCTAATATCCTCTCCTGAAATATGGCAGAATAGAAACCTAGATTGGAGGACTTCACAATGCTGCACTCCGTTCCAGAATCAATTGTTTTCAAAAGAAACAATTTTCTCATGCCTAATGCTGCTAACTCTCTTCTTAGGCAAAGATGGGCTCCACGCTCTGATTGGCCTTAGAAAATGAACATTATAAATTTTGTGGCATTTGAGCTAAGACCTTGTTTCACCCAGTCTTCATCTGATGTCTAAAAATGGCAGCCTTGATATGCTCTAAGGAACATACTGTTCCTACAACTAAAGAACGTGCCGTTGAATCAGTTCAGTATGGAAGATTCTCAGTATCTCCAGCTAAAGTACCATCAGCTCTCTAACAGGTTTAGGAGACTTCGTGTTCCAGGCTGGGTCATAGTTTTCCAGTGCTTTACCCCCGGTGAACCTTAGCTGAGTTAACTTTTGTAAAGATAGATATCTGAATCGTGCATAAAAATGGCCAGATTCACTGTATAAATTTTTAGTAAATTCACAATATAAATTTGCTAAAAATTTATTTTCTGTGTTGTGTGATCATTCTAGAGGGGATTTCACAGCTCTACAAAGTAAACAGTCCCTGACCTTGGAGGACAGATTTCTGGCAAGATGAAAGAGTTCTGGGCTGAGAATGAGAAGTTCTAGGTTGAAGACCCAGCCAGATCATAGATTATACATCTTTTCACCTCTTGAACTCTCCCGTTCTCACCCATAATGTGAGGAGCTAGGTGAGCTTGTCTGACTTATTCACTACTCTGCTCTCACGCATGGAACTGTGCCTAGCACACAAAAGCTCTCAGTAAATATTTGTTGAATGTATGAATAAATCTCAAAGAGGTATTGAATCAAGGTGGTTAAAAGTGTCCCTCTAGTATTCGAAAGTCTTGCTGTGTGTACTGGCGCTATCGGTCGCTAGATTTGTGATCTTGGGTAAGTAACTGGACCTCACCAAGCCTCGGTTTCCTCCTCTGTGAAATTGGGATAAGAATGACAGTATCGTAACTACAACGATAATAATTACTATGGTGAAGATTATATGAAAAAGACAAAATTAAATTAATGTAAACCCCAACATGTACTAGTTATCATCACTCTCTGGTGTAGGGTGGAGAAGAGAATGAACTTGAGCTCCCAGAGGAAACCTTGTATGACTGGATCCCCTTAGGCATGAATAACCCGTGCCCTATGATGAAGAACAAGGTTTCCTCCCTATAGCCTAAGACCTGTGCTTGCAGTCCCTGGCTTCTCTTCTGCCTCTAACAAGGGACTTCTGGGTCAGGATGGACAAACACTTCTTGTTGGTCTTCTCCCTCTTCTGCTTCATTGCAGGTGAGTCACAGATCTGAGGAGTGGGCTCCAGAGACAGGATATAGGGAGCCCGGGGAAGCTTCATATATACAGTAGGTGTCCATGGAGGGCTGAGCCTTTACCACATTTATAAGGGAGGGGAAGCCAGTCTTCAGAATGCTCTTGCTGCCTTCCCTGCCAACTTTTCTGACCTTTTCTCCATTCTGCAATTCCCCACCAGGACTCAAGCCTCTATGGTTGCCCCTTCATACTACTTCCCCACTATGTCTCTACCATTCCCCACATTCCAAAATTTTAGTAACATTTTCTTTAGGACATCCTTCCTGTTTACAAATCTTGATCCCATTTTCTGAGGGAGCTGGTTAGTCTCTAAAGACTAATTTTGTAGTTTGTTTCAGTGCTGGACAATGGCTTTTGTTACCCTTATCAGGGGCTTTATATTAATACAAGTGATTGTAAGAGAGGAAATACTGGATGCCCTGGAATCAGATAAAAAATAAAGATCAGTCACTGTCTTAAATTCTCTGTACCTTGAGTTGCTCATCTGAGAAATGGATAAATACCTACTTACAAGGCTTTTGTGAGGAATAAATCAGATACAGAGTGAGAGAACACAGCGCGAATGAGATGCTCAGTAAATGCTATTTTCCTTTTTGACTCAGGTGAACCAGGGAGAGGTTTTAAAAAAATTAAACCTGTATTTTGAGTAGCTCACTCCACAGTACCACATGAAGTGTCACTGACTATGCTATAATTCATGAGGCCTTCCGTAGATTCAGTCTGAAGTTCAAAATAACGGAGTAGATCACCTAACAATATCTAAGCAGCCAATGTCAGAAATCTCATCATAGTGACACTAGCTCGGGTGAAATATGTTAAAGCATTCACCCTCATTTTCACACTCCCATCTATCTACAGTGCTGCCATGTAGGCCAGGCCAGCATTAATAGAACCATTTGTAAGCTGGAAAAACCAACGCCTTGGAGGCTAAGTCTTTGCTCAAAGTTACCCAGGCTAAAAGGGCTGAAGTTGAGATCAGAATCCCTTTATTCTCACAACTGCATTTCTCTGGGATGTGGAGTTGGCAAGGGTTCCATTTACTGCCTGATACCCCACTACCAGCTCCTCATCCAACCCCCGTGCCACCCTCCTCAGGTCTATCTACTTCCAGTTCCTTCTAAGTCCCTGCATTCCTCTGGCCTTACACCAGTTCTGTGTTCTCCAGCAGTGACACCACTGAGATGTGTAACGTGCCACCTTCACACGCAGACAGATCGCTGTAGAAGAGGTTTTGGTATGTGTGTTGCTCAGGAGCACGAGAGATGCATGATCTTAAAGATCTTCCAGGGTAAGTTAGAGGGTTGGGGAAGGTGCTGTGAGATTCTTAGAAAATTTTTAGGGGAGTGCTTCAGCAATTTTCTATCTTAGACTAAGGCCAATCTAGGAGTGGAACCAAAGGGCAGAATGCCCCTGAGCACTGGTCCCTGTGCATGCAGACAGAAGAGGATTTGGAAAAATTAGACAGGAGGAAGAAGATAGAGATTCTATATGCCCCATAAAACTGAGAAAATAGATTTTAACACTAAAGCCCTAGCTGCTTATCTTCCAGCAGTGAAAGGAATAAGTAGCAGCTATATACAAAGAGTTAAGAGTTGTCAGGGACCTCAGGCAAACAACCCATGCAGGGGGCAGGTGATGTCTACATCTCCCTACCCGGGTCCTCTTGAGAAGTATAATCTGGGAAGCCATCCCTAAACCTATCCTGATGCCTAATTGACTTTTCACTGACAGGACTAGTGCCAGGTTTGACTTGTCTTTAGAGAACTTAGATCACTACCTTATTTTCTATGGTTCCTTCTTATTACAGATAACGTTCTCCAATTATCATATATGGTGTGTCAAAAATTCTGCAGAGACTTGACATATCATCTCAACAGTCGGATTTATGTTCATAAATGCTGCGACGAAAATTATTGTAACTTCCAACTCTAAGATATTTGCCCTCCTGAAGTCTCACTTTAGGATGTTATTGCTGTTTCTCCCCCTTCACACTCTACCTGCGCCTGCTTTCCTTCCCTGTCTGTCCTGGAAGTACCCCAGCTCTCTCTTTAATTCAATGTCATCCTTCCTTGTGCCTCCAGCTTGGTTCCTACATCAGTCAGAGGACGCTAACTCTGAAAAATGGATTTCTCCCATTACAGGCATTGACATTTCCATACTCCAAGAAGCCTGCCCCAAGAGGTTCAGTCCCATAAAATTTAAAACCAGACCGTTCTAGAACCTTGTGACTAGCTTGGATAGTTGAGGTAGACTAGAAATCCTTCAGCTGAAAATTCACACATGTTTTTATCTAAAACTCCCATTTATCATTACTGTAATTAAGCAGAAATAGCAGCAAAAATGGTGGTGGGCACTAAAGATTTTCCTCTATAGACAAGAAGTTATTTTCCCCAGTGGACAGTGTCCATTTCAGACTCAGTCATGATTTTTTTTTTGGCATTTACAAAGTACATCCATATACAATGTTAGTAGGAAACAGCAAATAAGGGATTTCCTGCCTCTGTGACATTCACAGCTCACACGTGGCCACTTCTAGGTCTGTCAAGATGTGCATTCAAGATATATCGCAACTCTCCTAATCTTTCTCTATTCCTTTCTTCCTTTGTCCTCCACCTCCACCATCACCTTCCCAGCAACCCACGTCATTGCTATACAAATTCTCCCTCTTTTGATTACCCAAGTCACTTAATGAATACTTTGTTTGACACTCTCTCATGGTGAATCATTTCTTTGTCTGATTTGCCCCAGTATGTTATAAATCAGAGCAGGAACAGGTGCCATGCCTTACTCATCTCTGTTGCCTTTAGTTGGCCAGTGAAACTTTATTGTGTTTATTGTGTAAAGTTGATGGAATTTTTCTCATCCATCTGTTTAATTTGTAGGATTTATGATGCCTTCATGCTTTTTCTGGCTGTATGTCTATTTCATTGGGTGTACCAGAAATGGTAACCTACCATTTCCTACTAGACAAAGAATCTTCACTCCCATGCCAATATACCATGTGTTTTCCTCAAAGGGATTATGCAAAGAACATTTCTTATTATGGGACCTTCCAGTATTCAAATATCCTAACCAAAAATTATTTTTGATGGGATTCTTCTAAAATTCATTAGCTAAGCTTACTTAAAAATTCATCATTAATACTATCATTATGTAAAGGTCTTACAAAAAAGGCCTGGAACTTTAGAGAGAGTAACCTGGCCCAACCCTTTTGGAAATATCTGAAAGCAGATGTTTTCCTAGATTTAGCGATGTCAAGATTAATGACATAGGTTGTTTGTTCTCAGATTTATCTATAGAATATAAAGTTTCCCTTCAATCTTTCATCTAACAGTTTTGGTCTCCATTAACTATTATTAACAAGATCCGTTATTCATTACGAGTTGAAATATAATTACTTTCTCTTAATTGAAGTACAATTCATATATAATAAAATGCAGTTATTTTAAGTACACAATTTGATGTGATTTGACAAATGTATAAATCTATAAAACCACCATCTCAATTAAAACATAGAACATTTCCATCACCAGAGTACGTTTCTTCAGGTAACCATCTACTCCCAAAGGTATTATTCTAACTCCTATCACCATAGAATAATTTTACCTGTTCTTAAACTTATCATAAATTAAACTATACAGAAAATACTCTCTTAAATCTGGCATCTATTGCTCATCATAATGTTTTTAAGATTCATGCATGTTTTTGCTTATATCGAAAGTTTGTTCTTTTTTTCCCCATTGTATACATATATTACATTTATTAAGCCAATTCTCTTTCTCTTATTGATGGACATTGAGTTGCATGCATTTATAACTTTGGAATAGTTACTTAAACATGACCTAAAAACAAAACCTTTTTTTGAGGAAGATCAGCCCTGAGCTAACATCTGCCAATCCTCCTCTTTTTGCTGAGGAGGAATGGCCCTGAGCTAACATCTATGCCCATCTTGCTCTACTTTATATGTGTGGGACGCCTACCACAGCATGGCTTGATGAGAGGTGCCATGTCCGCACCCAGGATCCAAACGAGCGGACCCCAGGCTGCCAAAGCAGAATGTGCGCACTTAATCGCTGCGCCACTGGGCTGGCCCCCAAAGCCATTTTTTAAACTGATAAACTGTATTTCACTAAAATTACAATGTCTGTTCATCAAGACACATCAAGAGAGTGAAAAGGCAAGTTAAAGACTTGGGGAAGAGATTTGCAATACTTATATCCCACATAGTACCTGTATCCAGAACATACAAATAAGTTTTGTAAATTTCCTACACAAACAAAAGCTGAGGGAGTTAATCACTACTCTTGCCTTGCAAGTAATGCAGAAAGAAGTTATTCAAGCTGAAATGAAAAGATGCTAATCAATGACATGAAAACATACAAAAATACACAACACACTGGTACAGGTAAATATACAGTCAGACTTAGAAAACTCTCATAGACGGTGTGTTGACCACTTAACTATAGTACCAAGGTCAAAGTAAAAAGCATTAAATATAACTGTAGCAACTATAATTTGTTAATGAATACACAACATAACAAGAGATAAATAATGACATCAAAATATAAAGGTGGGAGTAAAATAGTGAAGCTTTGGGGGCCAGCCAGGTGGTGTAGTGGTTAGGTTCACATGCTTCGCTTTGGTGGCCCAGGGTTCACAGGTTTGGATCCCAGATGTGGACCTACACACCACACACCAACCCATGCTGTGGTGGCATCCCACATACAAAATAGAGGAAGATTGGCACAGACATTAGTTTAGTGACAATCTTCCTCACCAAAAAAAGAAAAAGTGAAGCTTTTATAGACAAAGTTAAGTTGCCACCAGCTTAAACTGGACTGTTTTATCTACGAGATGTCTCAGGTAAGACCCACAGTAACCACAAAGTAAAAACCTAGAGTAGATGCACAAAAGATGAAGAAAAGGGAAACAGAACATACCACTATGGAACATCACCAATTGCAAAGGTAGTCAGAAAGAGAGGGAGAAAGAAACACTATAAATACAAAACAATCAATCAGAAAACACTTAATAAGATGACATTAAGAAGTCCTTACATATCAATAATAAATCTAAATGTAAATAGGTTGAATTCACCAATCAAAAAGCACAAAGAGGCCGGATGGATAAAACAACAAGGCCTAACCCTAGGCTGCCTACAAGAGGCTCACTTCAGTTTTAAGGGGACACACAGACTTAAAGTGAATAAATGGGAAAAGATATTCCATGCTAGTGGAAACCGAAAGAAAGCAGCTATACTTATAGCATACAAAATAGACTTTAAGCCAAAAACAGTAACAAGAGACAAGGGAGGTCAATATATAATGATAAAGGGTCCAACTCATCAAGGAGATGTAACAATCATAAATATATACAAACCCAAGATCAGAGCACCTAAACATACTAAACAAATGCTAACAGATCAAAGAAGACATAGACAATGATACAATAGTAGTACAAGACTTCAATATTCCACTTTCAGCAGTGGATAGATCATCCAGACAGAAGATCAACAAGTAAACGTTGGACTTAAACAATACGTTAGACCAAATAGACTTAACAGGCATGTATAGAGCATTCTATCCAACAGAAGTAAAATACACATTCTTCTCAAGTGCACACAAAATATTCTCCAGGATAGACCATGTGTTGAACACAAAAAAAGACTTAGCAGCTAAGTTTAAGAAGAATGAAATCATACCAAGTATCTTTTCTGACCACAGTGGTATGAAACTAGAGATCAATAGCAAGAGGAACTGGAAAAACTACCAACATGTGGGAATTAAAGAAGACAGTCCAGAACAAACAATGGCTCAAAGAAAAAATCAAAAGGAACATCAAAAAATTTCTTGAAATAAACAAAAATGGAAACATACCAAAACCTATGGGATGCTGCAAAAGTAGTTTTGGAAGGGAAGTTTATATCGATGAATTAAGCCATATATTAAGAAAATAGAGAGATCTCAAACAAACCTAACTTTACACCTCAAGGAACTAGAAAAAGAACAAACTAAGCTCGAAGTTAGCAGAAGCAATGAAATAAAGATCAGAGTGGAAATATATGAAATAGAGGCAAGAAAATGACATTAAAAATCAATGAAACTATGAGTTGCTTTTTTGAAAAGATAAACAAAACTAACAAACCATTAGGTAGATTAGTGGAAAAAAAGAGAAGACTCAAATCATAAAATTAGAAATGAATCATGGGTCATTACAAGTGATAACACAGAAATAAAAAGGATCATAAGAGACCACTAAGAACAATTATTTGACAATCAACTGGCTAACCTAGAAGAAATGGATCAATTACAACCTACCAAGACTGAATCAGGAAGAAATAGACAATCAATAATATGTAAAGAGATTAAAGTAGTAATTAAAGTCTCCCCCCTCAAAAAAAGCCTAGGATCAGATGACTTCACTGGCAAATACTACCAAACGTTTAAAGAAGAACTAATGCCAAACTTTCTCAAATTCTTCCAAAAAATTAGAGAGGAGGGAACACTTCTCAACTCATTTTACAAGATGAGTATTACCCTGATACCAGAACCAGATAATAACACTAGAAGGAAAGAAAACTATAGACCAATATCCCTGATAAATATAGACGTAGAAATTCTCAACAAAATATTTGCAAACTGAATTCAACAACACACTGAAAAGATTATACACCATGACCAAATAGGATTTATCTGGAATGCAAAGATGGTTCAACATATGCGCATCAGTAATTGTGATACACCACATTAATAGAATGAAAGATAAAAATCATATGATCATCTTAATAGATGCAGAAAAAGCATTTGACGCAATATAACATCATTTTGTGATAAAAATCCTCAACAAATGGATTATAGAAGGAACATACCTCAACATAACAAAGGCCATATGACAAAACTGACAGCTAACATTATACCCTTAAACACCATCTCCCCAATTCCCACACCTGTTAACCACTATTCTATACTCTGTTTTTACAAGTTTGACTTTTGTATATTCCACATATAAGTGATATCATTTGGTATTTGTCTTTCTATTTCTGACTCATCTCACTTAACATAACGCCCTCAAGGTCCATCTATGATGTCACAAATAGCAGAATTTCCTTCTTTCTCATGGATGAATAATATCCCATTGAAAAATGTCATTGGAACTTTGATAGGGATTGCATTGAATCTGTAGATTTCTTTAGGAAGCATGTACATTTTAGCTATGTTAACTTTTCCAATCCAAGAGCACAGAATATCTTTCCATTTCTTTGTCTTCTTCAATTTCTTTCAGCAATGTTTTATAGTTTTCAGTGTACAGATCTTCCACTACTTTGATTAAGTTTATTCCCAGGTATTTTATTCCTTTTGTTGCAACTGTGAATGGGATTGTATTTTTAATTTCTCTTTCTGCTACTTTCTTGTTAGCTTACAGAAACACAATTGATTTTTGTACATTGATTTTGTATCCTGCAACTTTACCATATTCATTTATTATTTCTAAAAGTTTTTTGGTGGATTCTTTAGGGCTTTCTATATATAAAATCATGTCATCTGCAAATAGTGACAGTTTCACTTCTTCCTTTCCAATTTGGTTCCTTTTTATTTCTTTTTCTTGCCGGATTGCTCTAGCTAGGACTTCCAATACAATGTTAAATAAGAGTGATGAAAGTGGGCATCCTTGTCTGCTTTCTGTGCTTCGAGGAATAGCTTTCAGTTTTTCTCCATTGAGAATGATATTAGCTGTGGATTTGTCATATATGGCATTTATTATTTTGAGGTACTGTCCTTCTATACCCATTTCTTTCAGAGTTTTTATCATAAATGGATGCTGTATCTTGCTAAATGCTTTCTCTGCGTCTATTGAGATAATGTGATTTTTATTCTTCATTTTGTTAATGTGGTTTATCACATTGATTGATTT